TTTTTATTGATTGCATGTAATATTCTAATTTATGGAGATTGTGGATTTGGGGTTTTCATGAGCTGTAAGCCATAATCATCGCACTTATGACAAATCACAGCTTGAACTATCTTGCTTTGCATGTAATGCGTCTATCTCATATATTAGTTTCCCCTTTTACGTTGCATTACTGAAATATATGAACATTTGCACGATATTCAAATTTTTCGAATATCACCTGTATGTTAAGTATAAAGACTCACAACCTCCTTTTATGTGTACACCATGTTTTAAACCATCAAATGGTAATAGTTCTAGGTTTATGGGAGAATTTCTTACCCGGATACAGAGTTAATAAACAAAACAGTAAATATGTCTAGCAGAGACGTCTTGATATAAATTTGGCAATGGTTGGTGAAAACTGTGGAAACCCAATTCCCCATTTCTCACATCTGCCTTCCATTCCTACACCCTAGACTCTGAGAAACCTGAGAAAATGAATCACTTGTTTCTATCGTTTACAGAGTTTATGGAACGACTGAATTCTCTGAACATTTTGGGAAATGTGAAATCATCTCAGACTGTATGAGTCAGAGACTTTTCATTAAGAGCCCATTAATTAGCACTTCTGAACACCGAAGGCTCCAACACCATGTTCTATCCAGATTATGCAATTTAAACATGCGATGATAAAAAAAAAACAACCACTAGATAGATGCCAACCTACTACAATATCTAACCTTTGTGAACCTCTGGCAGTTTAGCGGTTGTGGACAGATTTAGACGAACATGCTAAATAACCATCAAATGCAGAGCAAATTAAAGCAATTACGCAATCTCACAAGACCTTTTGTCTTCTTAGACTTTATGGTTGTACGTTCGTTCGTTGAAATGTAAAATCCAGATCAATTATAGTTCCAAGAAATGACCACAGACCTGAACATTGTTTGCACTTTCGCATCTACTCTCCTTGCCTAAACTTTATGATAATAACAAATTAAACACAATATATTCAAAAATTAGAGAGAAACAAAAATGAAGCCTTAGGGATCAATCAAAGCTTGACCCCAAAGTCGACATATAAACGGACTTTGTGGGTATAAAAGGTCATAAACCCTAAATTGTTTGAATACGAAAAAGATTACCTCAGAGGATGAAAGAGTGAAGGGCGACTTGCCTTTCCTCTAAACACTCTCCTCAGGTATACCCACAATGATAAAAAATAATAATGGGGCACATGAGTTATTTTTTATCATTGTGGGTATACCTGGGGAGAGTGTTTAGAGGAAAGGCAAGTCGCCCTTCACTCTTTCATCCTCTGAGGTAATCTTTTTCGTATTCAAAAATTATTTGCAAATCCCAGTTTTGCAAATATATAATATTACCCCACAAATAATATCTAGATAGATTTCTTTTAGTGTTGCCCTCTAACGTATTCCCTACAAAATGCAATTTTCAAAGCTGCTTTTTGGCTATTGCCTCGAGTGCCTGGACACGCAATTTATTTCATATATCTAATGTGGGGTCTGGCCATCCTCGCATCCGGTGCACCTTGGCAGCCTGGTGAGTGCGGTTTCCTCTATCTATCGACTATAGAGCTAAGCATGGCCAAACCAGGACTGTGAACATTCAGCAGATGCTCTCATTCAATGATTGCACCTCTGTGTGGATTCTCCTAAAGAAGACTGGAAGCAGGTGCTGCTGCTGCAGGTGTCCTGCGGGAAAGTTGTCAAACATACCGAAATACTTTGATTGCTTCTTTTGGGAGGATGACAGGGCCTTCCAAGCACCAAAACCACTTAAGAATGCTGTAGTCTGTATGGTTCCTTGGGAGTTCCAAAATTCTGCACATATTATATATTTATAAGGAAAGCCATGTGTCCAACCTTATAAAAAAAGAAATCCTCAAGAGAGCTGAATAAGCAATGTTAACAAACAGAGAGAGGAAGCTATTTGATTTCACTGCTCCAGTTAGCTAAATTCCTATTAAATGATAAACATCTTTCTATTTAGGGCAAAATGTGTTCTTTTCATACTAGTGAATCTGTATGAGTCTACCACAAGAGTATCTTCACAGTTGACCTTCTTTTAGATTATCTTCCCCCTCACACTTTAAATAAGAGAAGTCTGGGGCCAAATTTAACCCCATTGGGACCAAAAAAAAAAGTATAATAAAATGGAAACCCCATTCCCATCTCATATAAAGCCCTGACATTTAAACAATTACTTATAAACTGGGACAATTATATAAAGAAAAAAGCAGATATCGATAATAAAAGGGTTACGCTGACTAAAAACAGTGTTTCTAGTTGTAGTAGACTTACTGGCATGGTTCCCCCCATTAAAAATAAAGCTAAAATTTTACTATGCAATCTCACACCAAGGCCAAGATCTTCCAGCAGTTTTCTCATCAATGAGCATTGAAGGGAAAGGGGTGATGGGTGACCTTGGCTAGAGCATTGTGTGTGCCACAGAAAAGCACCAGGTCTTCAAAATGTCATTTCTAATTATTAGCCCCAAGTTCCAAGTCCAAGGCTCACAGACCTCATGTAATGGCTCTGATACAAGTCCGGAGTTTACGAGGGCCATTACATGAGATTTGCACCTGGCAGAAGGTTAGAACCAAGGCTTCCTACACTGGGCCACCAAGTTTTGGCTAGATGTCCGCCCTCCATTCTCCAAGGTAATCGGAGGTACGAAGATATAAACTTTTTTTTTATTCAAACAGTTTGATATATCTATATGAAACCAAGAGAGCTGCATTCCTCTGAACATACATACATTATAGGGGGTGCTGCTGGTGTCAATTCATACAATATACTAGATCCGGTGCACTCACTCATTCATTAAACTGCAATTTAAAATTTCACAAAATCTGGGGGCGTGGCTTAGCGGGCAACGCGGATGGACGCACGGGATTGAGCTCCGCTCCCAGCTAGCCCTAAAAGCGACAAAAAACAGCATTGCCTGCGGGAAAAACCGGGACCCCCGACTCACCTAACGATGTCCCACCCAAAGCACAAGAAACAAGCAGAAAAATCCGACAGGTCGGAGTTCTTCGCGGCCCGAGCCTCGACGCCGAAAGCTACAGGCCTGCTGGACCAGGCCCAAGATGGCGACGGCGGGAACGACACACTGCCGCTAAGGACGCCCACGGGCTCCCACAACCTGCCAGTCACGCAAGACTTTCTGCAGACATGCTTGGAGGATATGTCCAGCAAAATCCTGGCATCCATCCAAAGCACTCTGAGGGAACTCAGCAAAGAAGTGCAGGAGCTGGGGGACAGGACCGCACGGGTGGAACAGCGCGTGGAGGAGCAGACATCTGTTCATAACGAGCTGGCAGACCAAGTGCACAACCTGCAGCAGTTACTGAACCAGTCCCAAAGGAAAATCATGGATCTGGAAGACCGCTCACGAAGACAAAATCTGCGAATTAGAGGCATACCGGAGGAGGTGTCTCAACAAGATCTGCACCCCTTCCTCATAGAGTATTTCAAAGCACTGACCCCCGAGCTACCAGCGGAGATGCTGATCCTGGACAGGTACCACAGGGTCCAAAAGCCAGCGTTCCTGCCGCAAGACACACCAAGGGACGTGCTAACCCACCTCCACTACTTCCACGTAAAAGAGGCAATTCTCCAGGCCACGAGAGGGCAAAGGGATCTGCCACAAAAATTCACTCACATAAAAATCTTCACGGATCTGTCAGCGGCTACACTACAGAAAAGGAAAGAATTCAAAACGACCACAGAGGCCCTGCGCAACAATGGCGTCCAGTACAGGTGGGGATACCCGGTCCGCCTGCTGATCAGGAGGAATGGCACACTGACAACGATCAACACGCCAGAGGAAGGCCACAAACTACTGCGCAGCTGGGGCATTCAACCAACCCAGGCAGGGGCAAAGGCTGCAGATCAGCGCAGACTGTCTCCGGAGTGGAAGAGGGCCAAAAAATGATCCCACAAAGGGATTCCAAGCAAGAGATGGGACTTAACAGAGACTCCAGAGGGAGCAGTCGGACAATGGGCCGCAAGTATACCAGACACACATGACACGCACACTCAAACCCTATCACTCGATATATAACTCACACAGCCACACCATTAACCTGGCACATGTCAGTGCCTAGCACACTAAATAGAGACGAAAAAAAAAACAAAAAAAAAAACTCACTCACAACAACTTGATAGGAGCCCAGACCTAAATACAGGCCTGTCCAGAAGCTACACCCCAGACACGCTAGAACTCACACCCATCTCACCTTTCACCATTTAGCCGCAAAACACACGCAGGCAAAAAGATAGCGTGTAACGGGCATGGCATGCTCACCTAGCTACACCGCACACATCACTCATCAGAGTTCACTACGCACCCCAATGGCACCACATAATGGGTGCCCTACCCTTCCGTGGGAAATGTTCAATTGTAATACTGTGATATTGTATGTTTTGTTTTATGTTGCACTGTTTACCCCAAAGGTCTTGCATAAGGTTAGCATGACTGCATCCACCCTTGCTCACCACCCCACCCTTCCCCCCACCACCAGACAGGTTGGAGACCACGTAGCATATATCCGAGTTGGAGACCATAGGACCCAGGGAGGAGTAGCACACCAGACACTGACCCCCCAAGTCAAAAGCAAGATACTTCAACACCACTCAATAAAATATGAAGATACACTGTCATAATGTAAAAGGGTTAAACACCCCAGTAAAACGATATTGCCTCATAAGAGATCTGCGCAGGGAATGCCCCGATATAGTGTGCCTGCAGGAAACACACCTCAAAAAATCAATAATCCTAGCCCAGGCGCAATACACAGCTCAATTCCATAGCACCTCCACGTCCAAAACGAAAGGGGTATCCATCCTCATCAGCAAGGATGTGTCCTTCAAACCGTTATACATATCCATAGACAAAGAAGGGCGATATATTATCATGATATGCGAAATCAACAATTTAGAATACACGATAGTCAACCTATATGCACCCAACACACACCAGAGGAATTTCTTACATAAAGTCATCACACTAGTGCAATCGGTCCAGAGGGGCATCACTATATTATGTGGGGATTTCAATCACATACTGGACCCCAAATGGGATACCACAGTACAGCTAAACACTCCCAGATCAGCTACCCTCCAGAGGGAATGCAAACCACTAGTACGCTTGCTCAAAGAACACGATTACTACGATGCATGGAGATTGCAACACCCTGGGGAGAGGGACTACACCTTCCTCTCTCAGGTACATAACACTTACTCGCGTATTGACGGGTACTATATAAAAGGTGCCCACCTCAACCACATCATGTCCTGCACGATAGGTACCATAACGTGGTCAGACCATGCCCCAATAACCTTAGTGCTATGCGACGCATATGACTACAAGCATCGAAGCCCGTGGAGACTAAATGAATCTCTACTGACAGACCGACAATACAGCGACACAGTTAAAGACGACCTCTCCAACTACTTTGACACCAACACAACTCCAGACATATCACCAGAAACACTGTGGCAGGCCCACAAACCAGTTGTAAGGGGACTCCTTATAGGGAAAGCAAGTGCAATAAAAAGGGCAACCCAAACAAAAAGAAAAGAATGGCTGACTACCCTCTACAATCTAACCAAACAGAACCAACTCACACCAACCCCACAGCTCCTAGAACAAATTAAACAAGTAATAGACGAAGGCAAAAAACATGACCTAGTAAAAATGGGGTTCACAATGCGGAAGCTACAGGCAGCCCACTACACCCAGGGAAATAGAGCCAGCAAACTCTTAGCGAGGAGACTGTCGCAAAGGAACGCACAAACAAAAATCCCATTCATACTGAACTCTAAAGGGGAAAAAAGGGTTACACCCAAAGACATCAGCGACGTGTTCGCCGACTACTATACGACCCTGTACAACCTGGGTCGGGACCCAAACACCCCCCAACCGTCACAAACACGAATAGAACAATACCTGGAGGGTATATCACTACCGGGCCTTACTGAGGACCAAAGGGAGGGCCTACAAGCCCCTATCACAGAGGAAGAAGTGCTACAGGTAATAGCGAGCCTCCCCAAGGGGAAAGCACCAGGACCCGATGGGTTTACCAACGCGTACTATAAACGATTTGCTGCCACTCTTGCACCACACCTAACAAACACCTTTAATGCCATCACCCGAAAGGCAGAAGCCCCGGCAGACATGCTAGGAGCTCACATTATAACACTTCCAAAACCAGGCAAACCACCCACATGTAGTCAAAACTTCCGGCCAATATCCCTACTAAACACAGACACAAAAATCTACGCTAAAATACA